CCAGCTGCAGCCATGACAAGCGAGATGTAAGGTTCTGGTAAGCCATGAGCCATGTGGCAACTTATAGACTAATAGATATGAGTTAAGATAGAAGAACTAGATAACAAGAAGCCTGCTGCGGCCATACAGTTTGTAAGCAATACAAGTCTGTGTGTTTACTCGGTCGGGTCTGAGTGCTGCAGGACTGGCGGGTGAGAGAGATTTGTCCTGACCGTGGGCCAGGCAGGAAAACTCTAGCTACAACTAAGAATGGAAATAATTCTTGGATGTGTCAGAATGCTGAAAATGTAATTTTTCAAGAGATAGTCATAGCAAATTTTACTATTATTTGGGGAAAGAAACCCTTGTTAATAATATATTTTCTGTTTAAGTAAATTTGCATTAGAGTTCTGGTATATTTCATTTGTAGACTAAGTTATATATACTAAGCATGGTGGCTTAGGCCTATAATTCTAGCACTCAGGAGTCTGAAGCTAGCCTAGACTACAAACATTGGTTTAAGGCCAACCTGGGCTATAGAGTAAGGCCCTGTCTCAAAAACAGTAGGGCTGTAGCACAGTTGATAGACTGCTTGCCTAGCATCTATGAAGCCCTGGGGTCATCCCTCAGTGTCATTTCAACTCAGAATGGTAGTACATACCCATAATCCTAGCACTCAGCAGGTAGAGACAGGATCAGAAGTTCAGGGCCACTCTCTGCTACATACAAAGTTTGAGGCCAGCCTGAGCTACTACCTAAGACTGTTTCAGAAAGCAAAGCAAAACATCAAACACACACGGGCATACACACGTGTTGTAGAATATTATTTTAAGATGTGTTACATTTGTTTATGCTGTGGAACATTTGTTTACTGATGCAAAGATGTGTTGCATTCTTTTATGTTGCATGTGTTTAACTCTACGAAGCTGTGTTACTGGGCCTGCCTAAACCACCTGATTGGTCTAATAAAGAACTGAATGGCCAATAGCAAGGCAGGAGAAAAGATAGGTGGAAGTAGAAAAGGATTCCCACATGCTGTCCTCTGACCTCTACACACATGGCCTGCCATTCATGTGCTACACACATGCACTCAAATAAATGTGACAAAAAATTTAAAACATCAGGAGGCATATAACATATTTTTGTACTGTTGTAATTTAGTGAACAAATGTCTCAAAGACTAAAGGAAAAATGATACATTATTAATTTTCCACTTAATATTTTGTAATATAGACTGATTAATTCAGTAAGTTTATTTCTTTATAATCTGACCAGATGTCTTGAATTCCTTCTAAATGTTACCTTAAACTATCTACTGCCTCATCTACTTTATTAAAAACATTAAAATATGTTACTCCAGTTGGTGTTTCATTTAGAAAGAGATGTAATCTCATGGTCATTTAAACTCAACCTCCTCAAACTTCTTTACATGGCTATTCCTGCTACAGGAGATGCCAGGCTCTAGAATATTCTCAGTCTTTTTAAATACTGCCAGTGTCTGTGACTGTACTTCATGGTGAAAGTTTTAACATTTGCCCAGGGCAGCAGTGTACTGCTTGTGGACCAACAAGTGTGCTAGCTCACCACATCCTAATACATGTCTCCAGAGGCCAGAGATTGCTCCCCACGCTGTACCTTCCATTTTTCTCAGTACACACAAGGTGTTATGTTGATGGATTTGGGTAACATTTAAATATAATTATACTATAGTAATTAAAGGGTGAGAAAGATGCCATCCATCTTATTTTCAATTATCTGAAATTATAACATGGAAGACTTCTCCACATCACATCACATCACACACACACACACACACACACACACACACACACACACACACACACACAAAAGGCTAACTAACTTTATACATAAAATCCCTCCACCCGCTGCAAATAATGAAATCCAAGCATACTCATGTCCCCAATAGAAAACACCTGCAAATAATCTACACATATTTCCCCTGAAGAAATCCTCTCCAAATTACTTATAATACCCGGTACAGTATAAATGCTTTGTTACACTGCATTATTTAAGTAGTAAAGAAAAATGTCTACACATTCCAAATATAGGCATTTTCCAAATTATTTGAAAGCCAGTTTGTTGAGTCTGTGCATGCAGAACCCTTGTACACTAAGGTTAACGTCTTAATAGTTCAAAGCCCGAAGAACAGAAAACCTTAAACTATCCAGGTTAGCTCAGCATCTGTATCTTTCTAAGGTACTTTGTAAGACCATCCACGGAACCTTTGAGAACTGCTCGGAATTCCAGTAATAAAAAAAGTCAGTTTTAAGATGCGCAGTGCTGGCGCGCACCTTTAGTCCCAGTACTCAAGAGGCAGAGGCAGGCGAATGTCTGAGTTTGAGGGTAGCCTACTCTACAAAGTGAGTTCCAGAACAGCCAGGACTACACAGAGAAGCCCTGTCTCGAAAAACCAAAAATAAAAAAAATAAAAGTCAGTTTTAAGAACAAGCTTATGGTATGACAATAAGGAAAAAATTAAACCCAGCTTTTCGGAGCCTGATGGAGAATTGTAGGTCTGAGATGAGGCTGGGCTACACGGAAAAACCCTCATCTCAAAAAGAGGGAAAGACAGGAGAAAGAAGAAAACAACATTTCAACCTCATTCTTGGTCTCTTTCATTCTGATTGCCTCCAGCAAATAATCTTTAGCCTGTGAAGTCAATGTTCACAGACTCTTGGAGTAAGAATTTTACAGTTTCTGTATTATCATCACTGAGGTACTTTGTTTCACATGGGCGGGCACATTGTGGTGACTGGATTTCCTTGTCAAGGAATGAGCAGAAGGGAGGACATGTGAGGAAGAGGAAGAGGAAGAGGAAGAGGAAGGAGTCAAGCCAAGTTCTACTACACCTTCAAAAGAGTCAAAAGCCCAATGCGGTGGCATTCCCGCAATCCAGCTATGAGGATACAGAGTTCTAGCAAAATAATAGTAATAAATAGAAGGGTCAGTCGGGACTACCCCTTGTCACACTACAAGGCCTGCTGAGGTCCATGGTCTCTTGAACACACTCAACATGGCCCAGCATTACTGCGCACAATGTAGTTAATACAAATGCAAATTTAGCTGCCTCAGCAACATAACCTTCCAGTGGAATCCTTCAGACTGAAATGACTATAAAGATGATTTTATTTCTTCTTCCTTGTATATCCAGGAGCATACCACATCATTCTGCTGTGTATTTAGCCTCTCAAGGACAGAAACAAAATGATTACATGGAAGGTTCATATTGTAATACTTGAAGGTTGTTATCGTTGTAATGCGGAGTTAGAACCTTATAATTACCTCCAAATTTCATAAAGTGTTAGCCATCTTATTCTTGAACACTGAGGTCTCAATAAACATGTGTAAAAGGATGTTTCTTCACATTTCCAATACAGGGTCATAAAGTTCATAGAGTGTAAATACTTCTCTAAGATAAAACATAGTTATGATACAAAAATGAGCTGGGCAGAGGTGGTATAAGCCTTTAATCCCTGCACTTGGGAGGCCATGGACCTCTGTGAGTTCAAGGCCATCCTGGTCTACAGGTCAAGTTCTAAGACTGCGAAGGGCTACACAAAAAAACTTGTCTTGAAAAACAAAACAAACAAAAACAAACCCAAACAAAAAACCCAAAACAACTACAAAAACAAAATAACTACAAAACAAAAGAAAAAGATACAAAATGAGATTCTGCTTTGGGGGTCCTGAACTTATTCATTGATAAGACGCTTCTAAAATTCAAAACATCTTTAAAACTTCCTCATAAAAAAGGCTGCTATCTAGAATAGTTTCCAAAATGATGCCAACCCTTCCAGCTGCAGAGAAAGCTGTTTCCAGGAAAGTCACTGTCACTCAGTTCACTAGGCAGAGCAAACCAGGAATTACCATTTGGATTACAAGAGCCACAATTGTAAACAATGAAACATTTCCAATTTGTCCTGGAAAGAGGATTTCAAAATGACTTTTGGGGTTGAAGAAACTGGAGACAAAAATTGCTTCAATTTTGCCCTGACCTCCCTACAACTAAAACAACAAAACCCCACAAACGTGTAGCAGTGAAAGGTGATTTTATGATTCATGCTTTTCCTGTAACTAAAGGTAAAATGCAAGCGAGGAAAGGGTAATCCCATTGGTTTTTATCCATTATACTCTTATGTAATACTTTTATTTTTAAGCATTAGAAACATAAAGACAAAATCAAGTCTGTTGAAATCCACACAGAACCTCTTATTTTCAGAACAACATTCTTGGGCATAATTTCAAGCACTCCAACTCAAATTCCTAGAACTGGAAGATCTGTGGATTTAAGTTCTGCTCGCTACACCATGCTTTGAGTACCATCACTTGGCCGGGAAGTAGAGAGGGGGAGTGTTCAATTTGTAGTGAATGATGAACAAGGTCGGCTCTGACAGCCAAGTTACCTAACCAATTTTCACATGTTCAAAGTTAAGGGCAGCTGTATTGAACTATACACTTCACTCCCACCAACTCTTAAGGGATCTATTGAAAGTGAGTTCAGCTGTGCGTGGTGGCACACTTCTGTAATCCCAACACAGGCAAGAGGGTTGCCAGTTCAAGACCAACCTGGGTCACATTAAGAGCCTGTCTCAAGAAAACTAAACTAACACAACAGTTCAGACAGCATGTGCCCTAACTCCTTAACTTGATCAAGAAGGCTCTGTTAAATTTCTGTCCATATGTGGAAAAAACATGAATGACTTGTCAAGTTTGACTTACTCAATAACTCACTGAAGAAGTTTCAAATTCTAAGTACAATACCAAGCATGTGTCCTCTCAATCCTAAACACCTTTAACACTTAATTTTTTTCCTCTAAACTTGAATTTAAAAAATGTGTAAAACACCCTATTTAGCAGGCTTGATTATATCAGTTGGTAAAACTTTATTTTACAAGCAATAGGAATTGGACCAAATGATTATTATAATCCAGAGTAAGTGTTTTATAACCACAGCAAATGGCACTGTACACACTGCCAATACAGACTTAATAACACGATACTGAACTGTACAAGAGTTATTTATTTTCCTTAATCTCAAAGCTATTTTTAGTAGTACAAAAAAGCCATATTAACATTTTTTTTTCCATTAGAAAACAACAGGATGTACAAAACTTTGGATGAAAAGTATGTCAAATTGCATTTAGTCACTTGCAGGAAAATCCGCCACTCCATCGATACCACCCAGAGTGTTTTAGGCAGTGATTAAAATCAAAATAATGCATCTTAATAAACCCCAGCTGTTAAAAGAACAAACCTCGCAATATAGAATCGTTTTCTACACAGTATTCTTAACTACTCACTTCAGGAGTTATTTTCCAAAATCCATGTCAATTGAGACCTACTACATACAGGCACCGTACTTGGCCAACTAGGGATTTTCAAACAAGTTGGTTAAAGTGGGAAGGGCCCACACATCAGTCCTTTGGTTACCAGGTTTGACTTTAATCTTCCAAAAAATCAGGATCAAGTTTCCTCTTCCAAATGTTACTTGGTTGCATTAGTGGGGAGGGTGTTTAGGAAGAAAAGGAACGATTAATTTTGATCCATTATTTCAATTATAGGAGCATTATCGACAAGCTAAGCTATCATCCTTTATTAATACGATGTCATCTTGAGGTGCTACCACAGGTGGGGTTCAGTTTCTCCTGAACCCCATCCTGCTCAAGAGCAGCACAACGGGTGGACTATTTTGCATTTAATATAGCAATGGCCATAAACTCCAACAGTTTAGGGTCCAGTAAAAATATCCAGTTATGAGATGACAAAAAAAGCAGGAAGCAAACTAGTAAGAATTAATAGATAAGAAGTATCTTTTCCTTTTGAATGACAAGATGCTAACACTTTGTTTAAAAAAAAAAAAAAAGGGCTTGCAGCTATGTGGATGGCCCATGAACTGACAAGGCTGCCCATTCAACACCATTACTGCTGTACAGAAACCTGTTTTAAGGTATAGCACATCATTGAAGCAATCATTTGAAAATTAAGCAAATGCTAAACCTTATATTAGCAGGTCATATACCACCACCATTTAAACACGCCTGGCTGTCTTTTCATGACTTACGTGCAGCCTGAACTCAACACTCTTAGTGATTATAAAATTTAAGTTTCTGGAGCTATATGACAAGAAAATGGTTTATGAAATACTCTCATAAGACATTTTTAAATAGTCTTAGGGTCGAACCACTTTTGTCTTAAATGACTCAATCTGGCATGCTATAACTACAGTAAAAGTCATTTTCAATGTTTAAATGCAAACTAAAAGCAGATAAATGGTAACGGTTGACACAGTATAAGATCGCCCTACATATGTAATCGGACACTGCTGATTTATGAATTTCAGAGCTTGAAAACGCCATATCAGAAACCACAACCAATGGACTTTTGATGGCATGCAAGGTCTTCCTAAAAATTAACCTAAGACCTAGAAGTCAGCCTCAGAACATAAAAAAACACAACAAATTTGTACATTTTATTCACATTTATTTTTTGCTTTTAGTGTGCTCACAGAAAATTAGAACACCTTAAGCAGGAGTTGAATAGCAATGTTTGTAAGCAAAGTTACATTCCAGCTCTACGTCAAATTGGTCAAAGCTCCTCCAGTATTTACAAAACACGATAGACGAGATGCTACACAAAACCATTGCATCTGAAGATTTGTTTTTCTTTTATTCTCAAAGACAACTGGCAAAGAAAGCATTGTCTGCTGTAATCAAAAACATACCACAGTATAAACAGTAACCATTCCACTTATCACAGCTTGGTTGAGTTTAAAATTTTGTGTTTAAAAGGTCCAAGATGACTGCAGTTTTACAAAAATGGGCAGGGTGGAGAGTTGCAAACTTCATGTGCTTCTGAAGGATATCAAGATTTGTTTTTATACAATAGTCACAGTTAAAAACACCCTGCTGGTAATACATAATTACACTTTATTAAGGTCATAAACCAGCAATAAACAATAAAGCCTATACAACTTGTAATTCTACTTAATCACTGACTGGTACAGCTAACATGAGATAAGCGAGAAGTTCCTATGGTTTAGATGAACTCCTAAGACTATGATCTTCTTTTTTTTTTTTTAAATCTGGGTATTGGTGTTTTTATTCATTTATTTTTTTCTCTTTCCTTCTTATTGAAAACTTGTAGTGTTGTAAACCTGCCTCACAAAATACATCGTAATAACTTTTCTTTAAAAAAAAAAAAAAAAAACAAAAACCCTAAGCCTTTACACCATCATTTCTAGTGGCATATTTTCTTGGCAATGTTATGCACTGCTGCGATTTCCCATAGTGGCCCCTATCACTTCATTTGATATTCCTTTTGACCCACCCATCTCCTTCATATATATGGGCATGTCCATAGATCTGACAAAGAAAGTTTACATTTTTCTAATAAAGATGCAAAGTATGCAAAAAACATTAATACTGATGCAAAAAAAAAAAAGTTAAAAAACAAAGAAGAAAGAAGGCAGAGGAAGCTGTCTTAAACTGTCCTCGACCTGTCGGAATGGTGGTAACAATGATTTGAGATGGGATCTGTGGGAAAGGGGGCTTAAAAAAAAAAAAAAAAGAACAAAATTGGCTGCTAAAAAATAATGTAAAATTAAAAAAAAAAAAAAAAGGACATCTTTAAAAATCAATCCCTGGTTGTAGACAAGTTCGCCAAAACCAGTACCTGGCACCACTCCAACAAACAAACAGGGGGGGAAAAAGTTCTTCGATGACGTAAGGGCGCTCGTCCGCGCTTACTCGGCGGCGGGCGCGGGGGGCGCCTCCGGACTGCACTCGGGCTGCGGCTCCGGCGACGCGGTGGGGACGGCGGACGCCGCCGCGGCGGCGGCTTCCTCGGCCGGCCCCTCCTGCTCCGGCCCCGCGGCGGAGGAGGGCGCGTCGCCCGCGGAGGCGGCGGCGCTGGGCGCGGGCTCCTCGCTGGCCTTCTCCCCGGCGGCCTCCGACGGCTCCTCGGCCGGGGGCTCCTGGGTCGCCGGCTGCTCGGGCTGCTGCTGCTGCTGCTGCTGCTGCTCGGCCTCCGCCGCCTCGGCCTCCCGCGCCTCTCCGCCCGCCGCGCCCTCGGCGCCCGCCCCGCCCGCCTGCTCTCCCGGGGCGGCGCTGGCCTCGCCGGCCGCCGCCGCAGCCGCCTCGTCCTTGGCGCCGTCGGCGGTGGCGCCCTCGGCCTCAGCGCCCTCGCCCGCCTCCTTCTTGTTCTTCTTGAAGGAGAAGCCGCTCAGCTTGAAGGATTTCTTGAAGGAGAAGCGCTTCTTTTTTTTTTTCGGGGTCTCGCTGCTGGGCGAAGGCGCGGCCCCGTCCTCCGCCTTGGGCGACGACGTGGAGGAGGCGGACGCCGCCTCGGCCTCGGCGGCGGGGGAGCCGGGCTCGGCGGGCTCGGCCTCGGCGCCTTCCTTCTCGGCGGCGCCTGCACCCGGCTCCGGGGCCGCGGCCGCCTCGTCTTTGTCGGCCGCGGAGGGGGACGCGGCGCCACCGGCCGCGGGCTCCTCCTTGTCGGCGGCCGGGGCGCTGCCGTTGGCTTGCAGTTCCTCCTTGGCGCCCGGCTCGGCGGCCGCGGGCGATGCGTCCCCGTTCACTTTGACGTGGCCATTCTCCTGCGGAGCAGAAAAAAAGGAAAAGAAAAGAAAAGAAAACCCGGGAGTGTCACTCGGTGCGGCCGAAGCAGTCCGGTCCCCGCCCACCCACCCGGGCGCAGCTTAGGCAGGGATCCGTGCGCCCGACGGCACGTGGCCCCGCTGATCGCGGCGGGAGGATGGACAGAGGTGGCCCAGGTCCCCCGGGGGGTTCGGAGAGGAGCCCACGAGGCTTGGGCCAGCCAGTCTCCCGGTCTGCCATCAGGATCCCCATCCCTCCCGCCCTGGACGGCCCGAGCTCCCGGGCCTGGGGCCCGCGCGCCCCGGGCTTGGAGCCGGCAGGGGGCGCTGCGCCTCCACCGCACCGAGCGGGGCGCAGGCGGGCGGGCGGGCGGGCGAGCGCTCAGGGGCGGGGCCACCCCGCCCTGCCTAACCGGGCCCTGCCCGCAGGCCGAGGCGCCCCCGAGCCGCGATCGCGCAGCCCGGGAGTCCGCAAACAAAGCTCAGGTGGCTGCTCGGCCCTCTCGGAGGCTCAGCCACCAGCAGGGCTGGGGAAAACCCATTCTTTCTGAAGTCTCGGCCCTGCTCCCACGCCCACCTTCGCTCCTAATTCTGCAAAGCGGGGCGCGCCCGGGCAGCTCCTTTTGGCATTTTTTTTTTTTTTTTTAACGGGTTGAAAGCCTCTTGACAGAGCCGGTCTTGCCCCCTAAGGAGATTTAGAGCAGGGCGAAAGCAACACGGCCTTTGCTCTAGGAAAAGAGGCGTGGTGGGTGCCCGGTGTTTGTGAAGCAGCCAGCCATGGCCGACCTCTTAAGCCCACCCAACCGTGGCTCTCTGCCTGGGTCGCAGCAGCCCTGGGCCAGTCCTCGAGGGTGGCCGAGGTGCCACTCACACCAACAGTCCGGACCAAAACACCAGAACTGCCCCCCCCACACACTCTTGGCCCACAGGAAAGGGTCTTTTAAAAACCCACTGGGTATTCCCACCACACCAGGGACACCATTTAAAAAGTCGTATGGGTGTGTGATTACACAGCTACAAAATAGCCCCATCGGAAGGCACTTCGAAAAGCTGCCCGTCCAGCTCTTAACCAGCCGCCTCTCCAAGAACCTAGGGCAGGCGCCCTGCCTCTGGATACAATAAGACAAGCCTTCTCAGCTTGCCTGTCTCCACTGCCGTCCGCGTTGGCTTCCCCCCTTCCTACACACACACACACACACACATACACAAGCGCGCGCGCGCACACGCGCGCACACACACACACACACACAACCACACCAGAAATCTCAAAGACGACTCAATCTCGACAATAAATACGAGAGCCACCCAAACATCGCTGTGGCCCCAAACACAAATGCAACCTGAAGGGGCGTTGGGGGGTGTGGGGGGGGGACCTAGCTAGTCACGTTCAGCCAATATCCAAACCACGCCATTTTAGACCATTTATCACTCTTCCTCCCCTCTACTCAAGAATTCGCCAGGATCCTTAGGAACCACTCCTTTGGGCTGGGGTCTGGGGGTACCCTTCCTGTGAAAAATTGACAATTTAAGCTATCGTCTCCCATTCAACTTTCAGGCTAGGGTCTGGCCGCGTTCCTCTCTCCCCCGGAATGCGCCTCGGGCGCGACCAGCGGGAAGGAGAGGCGTCCAGATTCGAGAAAGACACCCAAGAAATGCACCCCCCCCCCCAAGAACCACAGGTAGAATTTACCTGCCCATTGGCTTTGGAAGGCGACGAGGCCACAGCCGCCTCCCCGGGCCTCTCCGCGGCGGCTTCTCCCTTCGCTGCGGTCTTGGAGAACTGGGCACCCATGCTGGCTTCTTCAACAAAGAAACTCAACAGATCCAAGAGAGGAAACAAAGAGCCGCCTTCTTGGGTTGGTGTAACGACGGGACGAGCAGCAGCGGCAGCAGCGGCAGCGGCGGCAGCAACAGCGGCGGCGGCGGCACACTCACCGGAGGGAGGGGGTGGGGGTGGCGAGGAGGACAGAAGAGACCCGATTAAATACACTCCGGATTTTAAAAAAAAAAAAAAAAAAATTTTTTTTTTTTTTTAGTCGAAGAGATCAAAAAAAGCAGCAGCACAGGAGGGAGGGAAAAAGGTGGAAAAGTCGAGCACAAAAAAGGAGCCCAAGTGTAATTTTTTTAAAAAAGAAGTAATAAAAAAAATCCCAGATTTGTAGCCGCACTGTAGACAAGAGGAAAATGGAGAAATCTCCCTGGTTGCTAATAAGATGCGGGGTCCAACGCCCAAGTGCACAGATGAATGGGCTCGCGGGCGCTGACGCGGCCCCCGCGCGCGCTGGCCAATCCGCGCGCCGCACACAAAGCAGGGGGCGGGGCCTGCGCTCCGGGCGAACAATGGAGCCGCGCTTTGCAAACGGTTTGAAAATCGGCCTCAGACCGAGAATTAATGTCCTCCAAATAAATAAATCAATTAAAAAATACGTGCTTCTCGTCTCCCTCGGCCTGAATATGATCATGTATCTCTTGATTGGCTTGCTTTGTTTGGAATCAATTAACACGGGAGGGGGTACTTATGGATGGGGGCGGAGAAAGCTTTAACTTGACTCGCATTGACTCTGGTCGGTCTATATCCGTGTCTGTCTCTCGCCACTCTCTCCCCTCCCCCATCTTCCCGTGTGTTTACGTGCATGAGTGTGTATGCAAGTGTTAAAGACAATGGGTAGGATTTGTGTGAGCGTAGCATGTTTTCTTTCTCCGCGTCCCATATGGGTTTCACAGATAGTGCGCAAGGGTTTTTTTTTTACTTATTTAAAAAAATTTTTTTTAACTGCTGCAATTGTTAAATCGTCCCACACTGAAAGGTATTTAAACCACGAATATCGAATTTCATCTAGCGAGATCTCCAGTTGGAATTAGGTCTGTAGGCCAGATGTGGGAAATGCAAAAGCAGCAAACAGCCTGAGCCATGCTCCTTTCCCTCTCCCACAGGCGTGAAATAAAATATTTTGAGATTGGTCCTTGGAGCGCCTCAAATCGCGTGTCTCCGGCTATTCCAATTAGCGATCACTTTCCCACAAAACACTGTGAGGACCATTTGCAGAAGGATCGAAACTGCTTGCATTTTATCACCGTATGAAACGACATAATTAATTTCCTCTGTGATAAAGCGAGACAGAGCCTTGAGTGTACGAATCCACATTTACAGTTGGGAGGCTGCTACTCTGGTCGACAGGGTTGTTTTCAAAGCCTGCTGCCAACATCGGAGGGACTTTCATTTTGAACGTGTGTGTGCAAAGCAGCGGGTGTGCTCCTGGAAGGGAGGCAGCAGCGAGGAAAGACCAATTCCGAGTCTCAGAAGAAATCGCCTGAAATGTTGAGAGACAGCAAGCAAATCCCTGGAGACTCCACGTCTAACTCGGGCTAGAGGCAAAGCTCTGCAGCGCTGTGGAGGATATCTCTCTGGGTCACTACGCCCCTTGCCACCGAAGTACCAGACGCTGTTAGTGTGTGAAAGACAAGGCGTTGATTTAATGTATCTGGAAGGGAAGGGGATACAGGGTGCAACCTAATAAACATTCCTCTACCACCCATAATTTCGCTCGCAAAAAAATCCAAACCATTTTTTGTCGTTTGCATTTAGTGACCGTGCTACGTGAACGATGGAGGCCAGCAGTCGAGGGAATGGTTCGTTTCTCTTGGTGTTGGCTCGGAATTGTCAAACAGTTTTATTTTCTGTTCATTGTAGGGAAATAGGTCACACTTTGAGTGAAAAGGACAGTTGGTTCAAGCCAATAACCCTTTGTTCGAGTGCTGTTTGACAGTCACTGAGCAGAACATCGTTGCGTGAAGCTTCATCTCTCCTGACTGTCCAGTTCCTTTAGATACATTATTCAATCCCGAAGTCATATTCCACAGAGCACCTGGAAGGACCATTCCGTCGAAATATATCTTGCCAGCCAACGTGTTAGCACCCGGTAAGGGAGCCTTCTGGCCTGGCCTGAGACCCCAGCCGTCAGGATGGACGCGAATCCCTCTCATCAGCAGTTCCAACTTGAAAAGCCAACTGGGCTGATCCAACGCCACCATCCTGGAGATTCCCAAATGCTCAAAAGGCAATCTGTCCCCCCACCCCACCCCATCCCACCCCACCACCCCACCACCCCACGGGAGCCTTGCCCCTTCCTCTTGAGTCCCCCTCCGGTTTTAAATTGGGGTGATTGCTAGTTCGCTTTCGGATTTTTCTCCCAGACACTCGGGGGCTGCTTTTATGGCTCCTTTGTTAACAGGCTGCCGAGCAGCTTTCCCCCCTTTTCTCTCTCCAATGCCTATTTGCCTGGTATCGGCTCGTCGCCCAGGCAACCGTGGGGAAGATTCGGAGCCCGAGGCGCCCGGAGGGGGGAAGGGGCGGAGCCCGGCGGGGTGGGGGCGGGGATGCGCTCGAGGGGAGGGGCGGAGGGAGTGGGCCCGGAGGAGACCCCGGGACCCACGCGGAGCAGATGGCCGAGCCGGGGCGGGGCCGTGAAGCGTCAGGGGAGCGAGGGAGCCAATCCGTCCCCGCTGCAGCGCGGGAGCGAGCCAACGAGTGTAAACAGGCAGGCTGTCCCCCCCGCGGTCCCTACTTTGCAGCCGAAGACGAGATTTCCTTTGGATAAGGAAATGCATTTCCAGCGTAGTTGGAAAGCTAGCAGTCCCCGGGAGAGCGGGTGGGGAGGAGGGTTTGGACCGAGCTCTAGATTTTGCTCCCCTCTCCCATCCCCTTCCACTCTCCCTCAGGCACCCACTAAGCCCGATGGGGTGATGAAGGAGAGGTGGAGGATGGGTGAGGGGGGCAGGGCTGGGAAAAGGGAAAGAGGTTGAGTCTGCTACCGGCCAGAAGGACGGCCTTGCAAGCTTGTGGAGCTGCTGGTCTTTAGAGTACTGGAACTCCTCAACATTTTGGTGGTCTCCCTCGTCGAGTTAAGGGTTTTGAAAAAAATCGCCATATGCATTTATGTGAGATTAAAGAACCTAGAAGGACATTAAAAATAGGAAACTGGCGCCTGTCGCCAACTCAACAGGAAGAAAACAGGTTGTCATTCTTCATTTGAGCTGTTTTTGGAGGGATGTGGTGTGTGTGACAATACAGCGTCGTACTGTGCTATACAGACTGACCTCCAACCCTTTGCAGCCCAGGCTGGTCTAGAACTCTTGACTCACAGGCTCAGCTTCTCAAGTGCTGGCAACTGACAGTTGAGTACCACTATGGCCAGTTCTGTTCTCCCATTTTATTCTGCTCTGAAATCTTCGAAGATGTGGAGAAGGGCTGTTGAAGTGGCACCTTTGGTAAAGGTGCCTGCCCTCAAGTCCAAAAACCCAAGTTCCAACCTTAGGACCCAGATGGTGTGTAGAGAGAACCAACCATTGCAAGTTGTTCCTGGACCTTAACCCGTACAGTGGCACACATTGCCACCTCCGCCACACACAAAAACAAATAACAATACAATGTTGATAATCTGTCCATGGTCTTCTTTAAGGATAAACTGAGTCGGTTCAAGAGATTTCAGTTATTTTTCCATAAAACAATAGCACTTAAACTTTACAGATCATTTTGCAATATCTTGAGGGCATGCTGTATCAATCAATCTTACTGAGCTTCTAGCCTCTCATTGGCCAGGGGAAGACGTGAGAAAACGGATAATGAAGAGGCAGTAAGCGTGAATGCTTCAATATAGCAATAAGGGTTAGTCACAAACAAAATGTGATTTAAAATGGCTGTGGGCTGAAGGAGAACACAAGGCGCTGTAAGAAAGTATAATATAATCAGAGGAGTTAAAGAAGGACCCTTCAAGTGTGGCGTTGAAGTGGAATCCTAAAGATGAAGTAGGACTGAGCCAGGTAAGGAGGTGACGAGCTAGGTGCAGAGGTGCCCACAGCAAAGAGCCCCCAGAGAGAAGAGCTTCTGGTCAGAGAAGGATGAGCTGTTTGAGTGGGAGCTCCACCTCACACAGCTCCTCCCCAAACCCGCCCCTTCAGAGCCCGCCAAACACAGCTCCTCCCCCAGAGAGGCTCCAGACCACTCCCACAGGGGGATATATTATAAGCAGCATCCCAGAAAACAGACTCATGGTTCTTCCAGTCTCTTCCCTTTCTCCCGGGGGTGGGGGTGGGGTGGGGGTTTTAGGGAATCACCCGGTAGTGCTTTTCCCATTAAACCTGGGCTTTTCCTGATTTGGTCTGATTCGGTTTGTTGCCACGGCGGAGAGGCCTTCAGGAGGCCTAAAACTTATCATGGGCTTTAACGTCTTTCGAAGCATCTAAAACACATCACAGTGCAGAAATCAAGTGACAGATCCAGGACTCTGGAAGTCTGAATGGTTTAAAATGTAAATATAGGGCTGGGGAGGCGGCTCAGCAGGGAAAAGCACCCTTGTAAAAAGCCCAGGTGTGCCTGTAACCCCCCGAGGGCGGAGGGTGGGGGGAAGACCTCTGGTATGTCCTTTCTGTCAGCCTAGTTCCAGGTTCCGTGAGAGACCTTCTGTTGAGTGATTGACACCTGATGTCTCCTCTGACCTTCATATTTGTGCACATGGGCATGGCCCCATACACACTCATGCATACAGCACACTCACCTGTACACACACCACCACCATACACACAATTTTTTAAAAAGTACTTATGGATTAGGCAGCATTCCAAGTGCAAATGTTATCAGAATCCAGGTCGTAAGAACACGCAACAGATAGCAGATAGGGTCCAAAAATCACTCTGAGTAACTTCTGCTCTCAGAGGATAGACAGAAGAGGAGAGGCTGAAGAAGGCCAAAAAAGAAACTCTCAGGAGCAGGCAAAAAAAACCAAGGGTGTGGTCAGGGAAATCAGTGGAGATGGGCATGAAGGGGGAATGGCTCCTTTTGCCAAATGCTAGAGTGTAATCAAATCAAATAAAGACTGAAAACATTATAGAAGTTACTGCCTTTTTTTTTTTTTCCTTTTTCGAAATGAATTCTCACTCTAGAGTCCAGGCTTTCCTCAAGCCCTCTGTACTGTAGTCCACGCTACCCTTGTGTTCTTAACAATCCTCTTACCTCTGTGTCCCAGTGCTAGAGTCTGGGCACAAACTGCCATAGCCAACTTTCCTGAGCAGTTTTTGTTTGTTTGTTTGTTTCGAGACAGGGTTTCTCTGTGTAGTTTTGGTGCCTGTCCTGGAACTCACTCTGTAGACCAGGCTGGCCTCAAACTCACAGAGATCTACCTGGCCCTGCTTCCCAAGTGCTGGGATTAAAGGCGTGCGCCACCACCGCCCGGCCTCCTGAGCAGTTTTTGTGGCATGCTGAGAAAGGATGTATGTTTAGGGCTTA